ATTTAGCTCTTCTCCAAGACGTTCTAACTTCTCCACAGTTTTAGCATTGCTCAGAAGTCCAAATCCTAGGACTTCTCAGCCTCAAGAAACTCTTAGCAGTGAATCCCCATAAAAGCAAAAAAGTTACACATTTTCAAGACACAATGGCACAGACTAAACATCCCTGTCCCAAAGGAGGAAACAGGAAAGGAGCACCAAGGAACTGGACCAAAGGAAGTCACATCCCAGGAGGGCCAGTCTTTACTTCTGAAGCTCCGTGCCCAGAAATCTGATGATAGATGTGGGTTTTCTAAGGCTTGGGAAGGCCTTCCCCTATGGTCTTGCTGCCTGTAGCCCCTAGGGCTCTCAGGACTGACTCTGCTCATGGACTGAACATTTTCTATGTAGATGATTTACCATGTCCTGGCATTTCTGACTTACTGGGGTCTCCATAGTAACAGCAGCTCCACTGTCACAGCCTCAGGCGTAATGTTCTTAGTGTTACCAGCAAGGATTCCAAACCTTCCACACATTTGCTGGTCTCTTACCTCTCATGTGAAATCTTGGTAGAAGTCTTGATGACCTCATAAGTCTTACATTCTGCATTCTGCACGCTTACAAAACCAGCGTCGCGTAGATGATGCCAGAATGTGGCTGTGGATTGAGGTTTAACCAGGCTCCATGGGGTATCAACTGGAACAGCCTCTGAGTGTTTGAACACAGAGAAACAAATCCTGGATAATCAGTTCCTTAAGACATCACATAGGGCAGGGATTCCTAGTTCTGATTTCCCAAAGCAACATCTTTGAAACAAGTTTACACTTTTGTATCCTTATTCCTATGATGGGCAAAGTCTTGCAAATTCCTGAGAGGTCCTCCAGGTAGCTTGGACCAGTACATGAAACTTGACTACTTTTAACGGCAGTAATCTCTTTAACGACTGCCCTCCCCTTGTACACAAATGTAAGCATGCTCCTGTCTTTGCAAAACTGGGTTTTTCATATCTTTGCCTTGTGCTTTTGTAATCATATTGTAAATATGATTAAAAACAGAAAAAGCCCTTTAGATTTCCTGAAGGCTCTGCTTCCTTTAAATTTCCTCCACCAGTAAATCTGTCCTTCATCTTTGAACTCAGGCCCATAAAACCTCAGAGAATGGGCAAAATGTAGACAAATTGGTGGCCTGGATGGAGCATGGATGGACTCGAATCCAATCCCTCCTTAAATACCTGAAACACCATAAGCTTGGCTTCACCATCCTCTTTCCTATTATGATCCACTAGAATACCCCATAAGCCCACTTACTACATTCTGAGTTTTCTATAGCACACTCTCCAAATGTTTTCAAATTCCTCCACAAACCAATTTAAAAGTCTTCTGAACCACATCACCAGACAAGTCACTGTGCCACACCAACATAAATGATGAAAGTTTTATTTTGGCTCTAATTTTCACTTGAAATTTTCATTTTGACCCTGTGACAATGTGGAACATCATGGTAGGGAGAAGCTGGTGGGAAACAGCTCCTCATCTATTGACAGGAAGCAGTGAAATAAAGGAGGTGAGTCCCTGTGGGTTTCTCCCTCCGCTTGAGGGTTGTTGGCCACCGATCCACGAGGACAAAGGGAGCAGAAGCGATGAATGGTGTCAGGATGTCCAGTGAGCATGACAGAAAAGACTTTCTGGGGAGTCAGATTCAGTGATACAGCTCCGTTTATTCAGTGGGGGTCAGGGAAAATATAGTGTGGAGGCAGCAGCCAAAGCTTCAGCTGATAGGTGCTCATAGTATGCTTTATTTACGTGTGGTAGGGGGATCCTATCATCAGACTATAGGGCAATACCTAATTATCATATAGAAAAAAACCTGGGGGCAGTTTTATTGCAGATAACTATGCCAAAGGTCATATTCCAAATAAGGTCAGGCATCCGTGCTTGGTGGCACTTTCCAGGTAAGTCAGGCAGAGAGCAGGAAGCCCCCGCTGAGAAAGGGAGTCCTTCCATATAGCACAGAGCCCCTTAGAGCTGTCCAGACATAATGGACTGCAATCTTAGCAGCAGGGTCCCCTGACAAGTACCAACACTATTCAAAGCCTGCCTTCAATGACCTACTTCTTCCAAGTGGTCTCTACCTCCCAGTGTCTCCATGAGTTCCTAACAGAGCCATCAGCCTTCAACACATGAGGATTTAGCAGAAAGTTAAGAGCCAAATCATAGTGAGAGCTTTCTCAAGATGAACAGAGGTAGAGAAGTGCACATCCCAAGAAGGTTACAGGCTTCTTGGACGAGATAAGACAGGGTAACCTTGAACATCTCAGAGCACTGTGGGGACAACACAGCTGCATTGGTAAATACTTTTATTCTGTTCACAGGAACCCCAATGGGGGAGGGCTTCCCCATTGGCCACAGTACGACCAGCAGGAAGGGTACCTTCAGATTGGAGTCCCAACCCAGGCAGCCCAGAGGCTGAAAGACAAGGAAGTGGCTTTCTGGACTGAGCTGAGAGCCAAGGAAACAGCAGAGAGGCCATCACAGAGGGAACATGTGGAGCTCTGATCAGGAGATGGAGGCCTGTGGGAGAGTCTGAACCCAAGGGAAAGGCATTCCACAGAAGGATTTTGTAGAAAAATAAAGCATCTTATTGTTGAATCTGTAAATCTGTGTGGTATATTGTACAGTTGCAGTAAAAGAGAAATATTGCTCTTTCAACTTGTGAAAAGAGAAATGTTTGAAAATTAAGTCAGGGTCTGTATCCTTGCCTCAAGACAAATCTATGTGCCTGAGAGAGGAAAAGGTGAGGAGACAGGCCCTACTGTAATAAGAAACTCCATGGAAGGTGGGGGGTGACTGGAGCAATAATTATCCTGAAATCTAAAGGAAGATGAGCACATTGGAGCACATGGGGTGTTGTGTTAAATTTTCCTGGGGGAACATGAATAAGTGTCACCCAGTATAGGGCATGAAAGACAAACAAAGAAGTCACTCTGCTCAAACCCAGCTCAGTGAAACAGTGAATTTATTTCACTTATTTACAGGATCATGGGTGAGTGATTACTTACATGGTTACTTAGAAAGCAGCTGCATCACTACATTCACAGAAAAGGTCCCACGTAGCAGGATGAGAACTTCCCATAGGTACTTAGGTGGAGCCCCACCTTCCAGCTAAGCCTCCCTCTTCTATATACTGTAGCGCTTCCAAAGATCACATGTAACTGGGGCAGAATTATACAGTTTGTAGGGGGTACAGAAGACAGTGCCTAGAACCTCAGGAGAGGGGGATCTAATGTGAGAGTATAAAATCAGTGGGAACCACAGACCCGAGGAAGAGTCTTCAGCACAGACTCTTTGCCACAGATATCCATCAGGTATTCATGAATAAGATTGGGGCCTATAGGGATTTTATCTCTGGAGTTCAGGCATAACGTACCACACAGATCCCTTTTCATGAAAAAAGCAAAATTCTGTACACATTTGGGAAAACAGCAAGATTCCTTTTTCTTTAAATTCCTGGTAAAGATTATTGCAGCAAGGGAATAGAAGAGCTGTAAAGCTCTACACCCCTACGCCCTGTAGTGTAGACAAGACACTACTACATCAAAGTCATTAGAGGCCTTTTACTGCTGAGGAGAAACAGGATCACTGAGAAGGCCCCATCTCTAAAGCTGACAAGCACAGGGCTCCCCTAAGGTTGAGATCAGACAATGACAAGCCAAACCATTTGGAGCTGGTGCTGAGTCAGCACCTACCATGTTCCACCTACCAGATGTAGGTGGGTGGACAGTCAAAGTGTGGAGGGACTCTCTGGAAGCAGTTGAATAAGGCAGGCAAAACAGGACCAAAAGTGTAAGACAGGATTACAGTGTACTATTTAAAGTTCCTAAAACTTCATGTAGCTGATATTACAGTTTGAGGTTTGAGTGTGATCATTCAAAGGTGGGTATTGAATACGTAGGACAATCACTCAAGATTTTCCACCCTGCAGTCCTTGTCTTCCTGCATTGGACTCATTTTGCTTAACATGATATGCTCCAGGTTCATCTATTTGTCTGAAAAGCACATAATTTTATTCTTTGTGTCTGAAGAGTACCCCATCATGTGCATATCCCACATTACAATTATCCATTCATCTGGTGATGAGTGTTTATCTGATTCTATGTTTGGCTATTGTGGATAATACTACAATAAATAATTACATTGGCATAGAAGTAATGCTCATGATTCCTGGACAGCGTGGTAATTCTAGTTTTAGTTCTTTGAACCTCCATACTGTTTTCCACAGTGACACTACTAATTTGTATTTCCACCAACATTGTAATAATGCTCATTTTTTCTGCATAATCATCCGCATTTATTATTTTTTGCTATTACTGATGAGTGGGGTGAGACAGAATCTCAGCATAGTTGTTTTTTTTTCCCCTATGGGGCTTTTGGCTACTCTAACATTCCCCCTCTGAAGTGGTAACCCTAAAATCTTTTAAAGACTAGATAAATGCTCCCAAATATTTTTGACATTTTTGGCCTTTGGAATGGAGAATATTGCTAAGAGGTCCAAGGACATGATGTCTTTTAGCCAAGAAACTGGCTACTTTTCTTTGGGGTCTTTTTACCCTAACTGCCTAGCCAATTCCTACCTTCTATTCTTATTACACCATCCTCTGAAGGGGTACCCAAATTGCCAATAGGGAATCGGGATGCAGATCACTCTGGCTTCTTCCCTGCTGAACAGGGATGCAGGGTGAGGCAACTGGAGTACCCCTTCAGTGGGTCTATCTAAAAGACGCCCAAATTGCTTAACTCTTGTCTCTAAGGGAAGAAGAGAGAGAGTCCTTGAATCGTGAATAGCAGATGTGAAGGGAAGTAAAGGCAAGAGTAATTAGCATTGCAAGCTCTAGACAGGGAACTAGAAAAAAGTTAAAACAGGGCAATTTTCAAATGTTCATATGAGAGTCCATTGGAGTTTCTTGACAAGGGC